TGTGTTGATCTTGCCTGAATCATGTCATCTATAAAGACCGCAAAGTCTGTGACACTATTATAGACATTGGCGGACTTGTAAACTCTAACAAGAGGCTCGTAAAAGATTGTAAACAGATCTCGGAATAGTTGCAGTGTCACCGGCTCCTCAATTAGTCGAAGCATCATAGCCTTGTCTCGCTGTCGTGTGCAGAGCTTAAGAAGCTGCTTCAGATACGAGAACAGTTGCGCGCCTTGCTTTAATTCCTCGTCAACGTTCTCGACGGCATTGTTGAACGCAACGTATGCATTAAACAGACGCTGGATTTGTTCACCAGTCAATTCGGGCTCGATGAGATCGGATCGCATAATGGCAACAATAAGGTCAATCTGCTCCTCTTCAGCCTCCAAGCGAATAGCGGCTTTCAGATCTTCCTCGGCGTCTGTGTATCTCTTTAGCTTGTCAGTAAAGACGGGGTCCGCAATCTTGTTTGTCAGAGCGTCAATCGACTTTTGGAAGCTCTTGATCCCGTCATTGAGAGTGAGAGAGAAAATTCTTTGCATTAGTGATCTGGTACCAAACGGTTGGGCAAGGAAGATGTCCAGCACACCCGACATGACTGCCGCCGGGTTGGCAATGCGAATGACATTTTTGAGGACCGAGTAGGGGATCAGAGAGTGAATGCGCTTCGCTTGGGCAAAAATCTCGGGCGAATTATCCTCCGCAAGGAAGAGGTGATAAATCACAGCCGCAATTTCAATCCTCAGCCACTCTGCAAATTTTTGATACCGGAGACTGAGGTCTTGGATCGTCTCCTTTTCCTTTATTTCCTTGAAAAGCATTGTAAGACCGTTTCGCTCGACAATATCCCGCCGAAAGCTGTGTCCCGCTTAGCACCAAGACGTTGGTGATGAAAGTAGGCTAAAGGCTTAGACTTACTGCTCCATGTATTCGTCAAGTTCCGCGGCTCTCTTCCTCGCAATCTCATAAAACTGTTTCTGTTCCTCGATTCTCTTCTCGTCGATAGCCTTGCGCCTCATAATGTCCTCTACATCATCGTCGGTGGGGGTGATGGGGTCACCGCTCAGGAACTCTTGCATGGCTTTGGTGTTGGCAATCTGAGGGTTGTGCAACAGAGACCTCAAAAAGGCACGAAGAGAAACGCGCGAGGATTCTCTCCACAATACCACGCTCTGCTATGTACTTGTAAGTTTCAATCAAGACCTCGGGCATGGTGTAAGTCGCATACGCACATCATCAGCATCCTGCTTCTCAGGACTCTGCTTCCCATCAACCGAAGGTCGAGGAGACTCTCTTGCGGAGCGAATAGATTGAGCGGAACCAGGTTTTCGTTGGCCTAATTAGGTGCGTGTCAGCTTCGGCAATGTCAAGCAATCGCAAGTCGTATATATCCTACTGGGTGCTGTGGGCGACAACAGCGACGAGATACCGCCAGACTGCGGCACGGGGGCATTTGTGAGTCGCGTGGAAACGGACGATACAGACGACGCATCCGAATCATCGGCATTGCTCCATCCGGTCCACAGCCCAGATGCCGTCGTGCTAGACTTATTCTTCTTGGGTAGAGGGGGCAGAATCCGGCCAGGCAACTCCGTCTTTATTCGCTTGTGAAGTCTGCTAAAGTCTCCATACCTCCGTCCGACAAAGTGCTCCAGCTCGCCCTTTTGCTTAATACGAAGCAAGAACTCGGCGTGTTTGTGCTGCCGGATCCTCCCCTTGACAGTCATGACGCGCACACCAGCGACATTGACATCCCACCCATTGATGTAGTTGCCCTCGGGTATACTATGCATTACACCAGTCTCAATAGCGTTGCTGTCCACAATCTCAATCTCTGAGAAGCGAATACGCTCTTCGAAGCCAGAGGATGTTGGTATGCCAGAAACCATCATCAGCTCGATGAGCTTCTGGGCCTTGATGGCAAGCTTTCTCCGCTTGGTTTCCTCAAGCCGGTCTTCGGATGATGAGACGCGCTTAACTGCAAATGACTCCAAGAACTACACGGTTTGTGCCACTTTTATTAGAAGTGATGTTTGCGGGGAAGAAGAGAAGAGGGGGGAGGGACCCGTAACAGAACGGTGAAGACATACAACTTGGAGTTTGTCTTGCCAAAACTCCTTTTCCTTGGCCTTGTCGAGGAAAGGAAAATCTCGAACATGGTGGACGAAAACGAAACGAAGAATGGGGAGTTCCGACTCCTCAGGCGGGACCTCACCACGCTCAGAACGAAATGGCGCGCCGAATCGCTGAAGAGCGGTTGGAGAGTTGAGCTCGTCGATTTCCCATTTCGCCTGCTTGGAAATAAGCTCGCGCTTGAGGTCTTTTGGGAAAATTGAAAGGTTAGCATCACATGACAGTCGCCCGGCGGTATGCCTATGGCATATATGGCATACGGGATATCTATGCTCGCGGGAGGCACAACGCACAATGTTCTTGCTTCCCCGTCAGGGTCTGTCCAGGAGCAGCCGTTCCAAAGCTGGTCTGTCGGATGGGAAGTTCTTTTGCTTCGACAGCGTCGGTGGTGGTGGTGGTGGTGGTGGCAGCAGATGCTGCAACTTCGGCCGACGGGGTGACGTCGCTATCTTGAGCCATGGCGACAAGGTGTGCGTAGTAGTACCAGTCGGGGCAGATGTTCGAACTATCAGCTGGTGCACCTTCTTCCCCGGGGCGCCAGCTTTCCGGTGAACGAGGGGAAGCCTTAGGAGATGCGGTCGAATGTATTCAACCGGGAGAGCTGGGCGGCTCGGGAAGATGCTCAGGGTGAATGTAGACTGGAAGTTATGGCGGGGTTACAGCTCTGCTGGGTCGCCGTCAGACGTCAGCGGGTTACGTCAATATACTTAAGTAAGTAGAGAGAGGGGCGCAGCTACATGTAGAACCTTGACTCGACCAGACATCAATGGAGCCCTGGACAGCACTTGGAAACCACCGGGCTCTGCGCAGACACGGTCAGCTACTTAAGAAGTAGACAATGAAGAAGACGACAAAGGCAAGGACAATGTGACGGGGCTCGCGCATTCTCGTCGCCGCAGGGGACAAGGCCTTCTTATTACCATCCATCTGCGGCGGTACGGAAACGCGTCGCCGCATAAAAGACTCGAGAATGGAGACTGACACCCTCCGGTTGAGCGTTTGACTGTTTGAATGGCTCAAAAGGTGACCCAGGTTGCTCGCCGAGCCCTTTGGTGCCTTGGCTGACCGGTGTCAATGTTACAGCCTCCACCTCCTCTCGGCGGTTAATGGGTGAATGGGTTAAAGGCCAGGATGCGCGTTGTTCGGTTGCAAGGCCATTCATCCATTGTCTACCGAGTGACTGACTATGCACAAAAACGTTGGAACAATCGGCCAACCGTGGTTTCATTTTCGCAGGCGCCAATTCTTCTTCCCCAGTGCTGTCACCGCCAGCGCATCGGGCGTCGGCGCCTCGAGCTGTTCCATATCCTTCCGTGTCTCAAGCCCAACGAGGGTTTGCACTCTGGGGCGTCAATGCACGGTGCCGTCTGGTCAATTTGATTAATTTCGACGCGACTGAAGATTACATGCACTGCACGCCGCCCGGGATCTGGAGTCGCAGGCCCCCATGGCGGGGCGCAACAGGGCACGACAGGGCACGGCAGGGCATGACGTGTGTGCCTGTCGAATCACCGCCGTCCGGCCTCAGCGCAGTGCTCGCATCTCACGTCGCGCCCCCCGCCATCCAAGCCACTGTTCAATGTTGGGAAATGGGACTGCCAACATTGACGCTCAATCTTAAACCCACATGACACACACAGTCAGCCGTGCGTGGCGCGGTACGGAGCACTGGAGTCAATGGACGGAGTATTACCGAGTTGGCAGATGTTGTCGCAAAACCCCTCCAGCCCTACCACAGACACGAACTACCCCATACCTGCATGTCACCTTCATGACACTACTTGACAACAAAGAAGAAAAAAAAGAAGAAGAGGGAAAAAGTCCCCAACCTCACGGAAGTTTTCCGTAGCCAGGACTGTGCGTCGTCCATGCACCATTCGGAAGCGGGCCAGTCCTCGCTCCAGTCGGAACACGCACTCCGAGGTCGACTACTTTCAACGTTATGTCAACTCAATGGTACGTGACTCGAGGACAAGGCAGCCCGTCTCAATGCACAAGGCCGATTTTCATCCCCCTACCCGCTTGGCACGGGCAGTGCAATGCCCTGTGATGCTACTAATATACTAGTAGTACATACATACCTCAATGTTGTCAGATCAATTGATATGCGTTCCAACAACAGTCTGGCCCGTGGCGCCACATCAGGAACCGCCGCCAAGGCCGCTCTCACCGTTTGAGGCTCCAGATAGCCGCTCACACAGCAGCCGCTGTTGACGCGGGCATTTAGACCGCCAACGAGCAGAATACCAATCATTGCCGTCGTGCCGCCATCCAGCGGATGAGTTTTGACGCAACCGAGACCAACTCTTCACCCTACGGAGTACACCTGCAGCAAATCATGCAAGTCGGCGAGGCTCAAAACGTCACGCTGCAAGCACAATTGTGGCTGAGCACCATCAACCACAAATGCACCGTTTTGTGAAGCCTGTCGGTGATGCCGAGCCTGGCGCCATTTGAGCTACGTATTTATACATACCTAGGTAGGTAGTTGCCGTGATGAATATGCAGTCCTCTCTACCTAGAAATACATAGAGGGTAGTAGTCGCGTGCTCTACATCCTCCTTCAGGTTGATACACATACAGCGTCGTCAGCACACAAACGGAGGAGACGCCTCACAAATGGGCTTCAAGTTGGTCAGCAGTTGGGCCAAAAAGCTAGCTGACGTCACCCACGCCGCCAGTCACACATCATGTTGCCCTCACAAAGGTTGTGATGCATCCCGAAAAGGACATCAAAACAAGGAAACTCCTTTTGAATAAATGACCAAGGGTATCGTTGGAATCGTTGAATGCTTCAAGAAATCCAGGTCAAAACGCCAAACCACGTGCTGCGTAAACGACCCGAGCAAAATGTACTGCCAAATCACTCACAATTCATCAAACGCTCGCAACCTCGCGTCATCCCCGAGGGGCGCTTTCCAAAGCAACCTCCTCCCAGACTCTTCTGTGCTCTCGCTCTGGTGAGAACTCAACGTAGTCAACCACGGAGGTACGTTTGGGCTCATGCTCGCATTCCACCGCATTCCACCTTGCCCCTCCACATTCGCGTACTTCATGCCGACTACGAAGGCAATCATGACCAGAGCCAGAACTGTAGTAGCGGACCATATAATCTTGAGTTTCTTGCGCGTCTTTTCCTGCCATCGCCTGTCGGCTTGTTCCCACCTCTCAACTCTCGTCTGGACCACGTCAACCCTGGAGGCGAGGGTTTGTATCTGGTCACGGCCCCTGTGTATGCGTTTCTGGAGCGACAAGATTCTCCGTTGCTGCTCTTCAAACTGGCCAGCAGCACTTAGTTGACGAATAATATGGCTTTCCAAATCTCTCGCGTCCTTGTCGAACGATTCGCACAGGTCGTGGCAGTTTCCGGCCAAATCTTTCAGAGCAAATACCGTGTTTTGAAGGGTGCTCATTTTCTCCAGGACCGAGTAGTATGTATCGTCTAGGCGCTTTGTCATGGTGGTCGAGAAAGAGTTGAGGTCCATCAGCGACTGCTTCAAACCCCTGGATACTATTAGCATTTTTCATCGACCCCGCGAGCATCACTGGCCCGGCATGCACTCACTCAGTTCGTATCGAGGCCTTCTCCTGTGCCAGCTGCGTCTTGATTCCCATCTTCTCCCGCTTCTCCCTCGATTCCCCATTCCTTTCCCCCCTCGGCCCCAATATGCTGGCACGTCGACTCGGATTCGGGCTCATAAACGGGGTCGTTGTCGTCGTCGAGGGTGGTATATCAAGAGAATGCCGACCTTGCGCCGCAAGAATAGCCGGCGACAGTGGGGGCCTATCTTTTTCCTCGGATTGGCTCCCTTGTTGACGGTACAGATGTGGGCGACGATGAAGCTTCCCGGGCGACGCGAGCTCTGTCAGTGACCGCTTGATCTGACGCCGCCCACTAGGTTGTGAGGGCCATGGCCGCTGTGGACCATCCAAGCCATCGTCAGGTGTAGACATCATATTCCGTCTTAAGCATGTTAGATCGCCCGGTCTTGTTGTGCCATGTTCCGTGCCGAGTACCCGTCTGTGGGTGACGCAAGCGGGCCGAAGAGAGGCAAAGGGACGGAGTGTTGCTTGTTCTCGCTGGTCAGAAGAGCGAGCCCACCCGACGTGGCCAGCAGCTCCGAGAAAAGAGGTCTGGTGGGGCCTGGCGGTCAATCGTGACCGAACCCGCTTCAATGTTCACATGCCCGCAAGCACCAGCAAAGAAACGTTACGGATTGGCCGTGAAAATCCATCACCTGGCGCCGGCTAGTTTGAATAAAAAATTTCCATGTTTGAAACTGAAACAAATACAGACAGTCATTACTACCGGAGAATTCAAGATGTTGCGCAGTCCTTGATATTTTGTCAATACTAGCAGTATTTGCTCATACATACACCTCAACGCCCAAGGGGCTAGGAAGGCGCCCATGCCTAACTGTTTCCACACAACACGCATGTACATACTTCTACGTACAAGTGTTTGCAAACTCTAAAGTAACCTGTGTGTACTGCAAACAGCCTCGTTTCGTTTCGTGTTCAGCCGTGCTGTTTTTCAGCCACGGCGACGTGGGCCACACCTTATACTACTGCAAAGCGCCTATATTCGAAACGGTAGCGCAATGCATAACCACCTCCTAGCCACATCAGATTGCTCGGCAGCCAAGGCATCCATGTAATTTCGTTCGTATATTTGCCCGTTGCCCGCAAGATGTCAGTCAGTGTGTTGTAGTTCGCGCCGAGTTTCCCATGCCAACCATCCTTTAATGGTCTCATGAATTGATAAGCTTGTTGCGCTTCTCTTTTCTCTTCAATCGCTCCACGCGCTTGCGGTGCATCGTCTCCGCCATCTTCTCGTATCGCTCCTTTTCCTCCTTCTTGGCACGTTTTTCTCGGATTTTTTCCATCTTCTCCTGTAGATTGTGGTAGTTAGCCGACTGCCCCATGGGACTGACTGACCGGCTGACTACACGCGGATTGCAGACGCCACCCCGTTATCTGCGCTGTGTGCGTACCTTTCTCATTGTCTCCTTCTCCTCCTTCATCTCCTTCTCCTTTGCCTTCATTTGAGCCATAGCGGCTCTTTCTTTCGCTCGTTTCTCAAATGTGGTCAAGCCCTTGCTTGGGCGAAAGGCCTTTTTCTGTTCATGCCACTGCTTGCCTGAACGTGCGGGTGTCAGAGTCCAAAGCCGTTCCGCTTCACAAGTGAGGGCAGAGGAGCACAGCATACCATTTTTTCGCATACCAAGGGGCTTGCTTGCCCTTTCCTGGCCCTCCGCCGGTACAAGAGTGGGTGCCTCGTCGTCAGACATTGCCGTTGTGTGAGTCGTCGGATATTCGGTGACGACTGTGAAAAGAAATGCACCAAACCTCGCATCAAGGCTGGAGTACCACCTAGGTTTTTTTCTGCCGTCGACCTCACACTACAACGAGCAAAGGCGGTGTATCTGGCCAGCCTCATCCCCACGGCCGCCACATCGATCCCATAATGTGGCGCTGAATTCAGGGTCCTCCAGGGGCCGCCTGCAGCGTAACTGTGGCTGGCCCCTTCCAGACATCCAGGTGGCTCTGACGCGCCACGTCTTTTGTTACACTATTTTTGAACGACCAGGCTGTGCTCAAGTCCCTGTACTTGCCAACGGTACATATGTACATACAGACTTGAGTCGTTATGTCATTTTATCGAGTTTGCGTCCCTTGCCGCATCAGACAAGGCACAAGTGGCGATTGGACGCTATTTTACGGCATGTTACGCTGTGCAGACATCAAATTTATCTTACATGGTGCATGGCTTAAAAGAGAAATTTTGTTTGGCAGCTGTCCCAGATGCCTGGGCATCCCTGGCAATCTGACAATTATGAACAAGGTCCTCCGGACCAGGGACCTGCCCAATTTCCAGACCTTCTCCGATGGCCTGCAGCTAGTGATATTCGGCGCAGAGGTTATATCGGAACCTGAAATGAATTCGATATTGGCATCATTTGTTTGTTGATGAGCTTATACACCGGGCAACCACTCAAGATCCCGGAGCGACACCATATGCCATATGTACATGCGTGCAGGGACAAGCACTAGGGAAACAATGCAGAGCATGCAAGGGATCAAAATGATGACTTGGGTATTCTCCGCGATGTGCTGCGGGAAATGAATATCCAGGTCATGCCCACTGTTCGCGGAAGACTCAGTGTCAATCATTTGCGATTGTCTTGAATCTACGGAGCACTGTATTGGTATCCCGACACCCCAGCCCATGGATACATGAAGCAACGTGGCAATGAGCATCCTTTCCTCCAACCGCGATTAAGCTACGATTCGACTATGCATAGCAATGGGGACGGGCAGGCCAAGACAAAGCAAAGCAAAGCTCAAGACTAGTAACTGCTATATTGTGAGGCTCGGCGTTCACCAGTGACCACACGGGCTTTGACTTTTCAGGACAGATTCAGGACAGTCTTGGAATTGAGCAACCGGCTTGCTCCAGGGCGATGGGGATGACGTTGTCATCTAGCTTCTCCGCTTTCTTGTCAGAGAGCGAGATTGCGCCTGTACTGGTGGAGAAGTACTAGCTGGCATGATGGTAGTTGGTATGTCCAGTATGTTTTCATCCTTGAACAAGGCTTGGCTGAACAGGCGTGCGTGCGTGTGTGTGCGTGTGCGTGTGCGTGTGTACATAGAAAAAGTGGAATACGAAGGAGAAAAGTTTCCTTGTTAGATCGCCAATGGCAAAGAGCGCCACGTCGTATTATTCGATGCAAGCCGAACCGTGCTGCTCAAGCCAGGGCCTACAATTAAAAGGACGACAAGCCTGATTCAACGTGTCTAGACACCCTCAAATTCAGGCGGCGCAAATCAACAAACACATCCTGTCAAGTGTGAAGTCCGTGCGTTCCTGCTTACCACACTACTACTAGTACTACTCCCCGTTGTCTGGGATCGTCTGTGGCTTCTCTGCGTCGTTCAAGACACGCAAACGAAGGGCAGAGACAGCTAGCCGATTTGAATAACATATTATATGTACAGGATGAGAAGTCCATTGTCGTCATTGATCTCAAAACATGGAAGGGGCTCATGGCCCATCTTGTGAGATGCTGTGCCACAGCCGCGCCAAGGCACCGGTCGCTTATGAGGGAGCGCAGTCTGGCAGTTGCTGTCGATGGCAGGAGAACATTGAAGGGCTCGGCGATTTCCCTCAGGGGTCAAACGGGCAGTGTTGTCCCAAGACGGGCTTGGTTGCGATGTCGAACGGTTGTTTCGTGAGTTTAAATTAGTAAACCATGAGACGTCACCGTCACCGTATCCCCAGACTTCCCAGGTTTGTTTCCCTCCAAGGTTGCGTTGGCCCCATTGTGTGTGTTACGTGCCGCGCGCCGGCAGAGAGTGCCGAACCGCTCCCCGTACCCGCACCAATGGTTTTTCCTGGTGGTGAGAAACTGTCTGTCTGTCGCAGCGTCTGACGGAAAGTGGTTGACTCGTAGTATTCATCACGAGGTGCTGGGGGCGAGAAGCTGTAAGGGATACCCAGGAGCAAACCGCAGCGAATTCTGGCAATCATTATGTGACGTAGGACATGTCCGTATCGCACGAGCTGTCCCAGGAGGGTTCATATAAGTGAGAGATGGAATGTCGCGTTGCTGGCCATACAAGGTATGCGGAGTAGAGACTTGACCACATACATACATAGCCCTCGCAAGCCGCGACGACTAGATGTTTATAGTAAAGGTTCGCTCCATAATACTCCGAAGTCTGTATCGACATCACTGTGCCTTCTCCAGCGCTTGACTCCCACCACCGCAAAAGGTGGCATTGTGACTGAGGCAGAGGGGGGAGATGAAAGGGGATTCAGCAGCACATGGCGAGTCCTCCAGCCACTGGATTGGTGGCTGACTTAATGAGTGATCTGGGCTCCCAATTAGTACGAATACTCCATAATGTCTTGCATTTTGCCACCGACAGGTGATTGATACCAGAGTGTTCGTCACACTGGATCCATGTCTTGCTAGATCCCGCCAAGTCAGTCCGATAAGAGTCAAATCCAAGATAGCAGTCTACTCCGTACCGAGTACTACTTCTTTATTAGAGGCTGTCGCTGGGCCCTATTGTGTATTGAATTTTAGCGTGACTGAACCCGACATCTAGTGTTGAAACACCATTGTGAGTCTGGTCAATTTCCTAACCGCGCCTTAGCAAAGTTTATTCCCCGATGTGATAATCGCCGGAGATGGCCGCAGATAAGTCTGAAACGGTCAAATACAGTGAGAGACAATAAGACGGGTGGAGGCTAGGGCAAGGGATTGAGCCACAGGTAACCGTCACCACCTCGGATAGAAGCAGTCACCCAATGGATCTGTCACCGCGCGAAGACTGATAGCCGTGATAGTAATGTACAGAGTATCGAAAGACAGACTGATTACTCCCTAATAGTACGGAGTACATACAATCAATACGGTCATGGAAGTGACGAGGATCCTCGTGTGAGCAGCCCGCACCCCGTTCAGTCATCGCAATTGCGAACTTGTCCAACTGCTCGTAACAATCGAGGCAACAACAGCTGAAGTGTAGGGATGCTCCCTGTCTCCTTGCGTCCAAAGAATCCTGATGTGGATCCATTTCAACTCGTGATGTCGACACCAAGGCCTCGGAGGGCAACAAATGTTGCGCCCGGCCATTAACCACCAAAGGGCTGGTTGATGATCCATGTGTGCATGAACGAAGGTCCAACGGAAGGTCGTACAACGAACCGCCTTTGTTTGTAGCATTGGGCTAATACTGCGACAAGCAGACTCCCGCCTGTGCTTCCACCCCAAGCACCCCTGGAGACTTTGTGGAGTCTTGGAGGGGGACTCCTGGCTAGACTGGGGGTTCTTTGGATGGTGAATTGTGGTGTTCGAAATGCACCGAGGAAGTTACCTGCATGGGCACGGCCGGTTGTATCGACATGGGACCAGGGGCTGCGTCCGCCAAAAGCGACCACGCTCGACAAATCAGGGCTGCTAGCAACACCCTTGTTGAATGCACTGCCCAGCACTTGGGCCAGGGCTAGGCGGTGGTCTCCAGGGGTAATGGAGCATGGAACATTGAATTGGCAGCCCTGGGGAGAGGGAATGCCCGACTTGGACGGACCAGCTGTATCACCAGAACCATTTTGAGGTTTGGTGAAGTTGGCTGCCTGCCGTTGCGGGCGTCGTAGAGCACACGCCGCCAGGTCCCCCGGCAACAGGCCAAGTATGATTGTCGTGCGTACGGGGTGCGAAACTCTCCGACACCAGCCATGAACTGGGACGCTGCGCTGCTAGTCGTTCGTAGCCAGCGTATTTGTCTGGCGAGAGACTTTTCATGTCTTGGCATGACGACGGCCACTGCATGTTGCTCACGCTCTCACAATTTCCCCATCTTCGATTCTTAAAGGGCCCGTCAGCTAAGCCACGAAAAAAACGAACCACCCCGTTTGTTCTTGTCGCTTGTCTTGGAAAACGAGGTACTAGTAACTACTCCGTACTGCTAATAAAGAATGTCAAATGCCCTGTCAACCGCACTTCGTATCAAACCAGGGTTCGGGGGCCTTTTTCACGTATCGTGGCCGTAGCAGCACGGACTGTTGAACAGGGCATATGTATGTACACATATTTACTCGGTGTATGTTTTGTGCGTGCCTGGATGGGCATGGAGGCGTTTTAGTTTGGCACCGTTGTTGACGACTATTGAGCTATCAGCTGGCCGCTCCTTCGGCTTGACCCGACAAGAAGAGGTACAACACCTTACCAGTTATACGAATAAAACCACGCCCTCAGTTGCACCGTGTACTCCAGAGACCGATTGTATGTATGTATGGAGTACTACTCGGTGCATTGGACATAGATCGAAATGCTCGGCAGGCTGAAATCCCTCAGGGCCTCTTCCAGCCATGATGAAGTGACAAGTAGTACTAGTTGAGCCTGCTGCTGTGCCGAGACAGGCGCACAATATAATACTCGGAGCAATCCGAGGTTGGCGACGGAGAACCCCAACTCGTGTATAATAGAACAGGGCAACCCGCGTAAAGACCATGGCACAAAGGGACTGATGGCAGTACGTGCTACACAGTAGTCACCATCGTGGCCCGTATCGCAATGCATGGCTGTGGCACCGCACTAGACGCAAGACTAGAGGATGCTGGATGGCAACATGGTGCCAAGATGGAGTCGGCGAGTACGCAGGGTGAGTGGGCTTTCAGACAGAGAGGGTGGAGGAGAATGGTGGCCGAATGGAGGACAAGAGAGGACGCGAGGATGAAGATGGAGGCCATGGCCCACGACGGTCCCAGACCAAGTCCAAG